TATTCTGGTGGCAAATAAGGTAGCTGCTCAGAAACACTGTAGCACTATACAACAGAACCACAAACTGAAGTTGTTCTTGTGAAACTGCAAGAGGAAGTCAGAGAGACAAAGCCACTACCTGAGCTAGAAATTAGGCCTGGAACAAAGGGTAAAATCTCTGCTTCCTACAAGCAGTGCAGTAAGATCTCGAGTGATGAGCAGCTAGTAAAATGTTCGCTTGGTGGTTTATCCGAAGGAAAGCTCAATGCCATTTCTTATACCCTTATGGGATCTAGGTGCAAACAACTAACTCTTCACTTGTTTATACAGGGATTTTTACCTTGATCTCTTTCTTTACATCTATTTGACATGTGGCTGGCACTAATATTTGTTGACTTGTGGGATGTTTCTCTGTTAGGTCGTCCAGAGCTGTTCTAAGGAGCTGTCAGCAACATGTTGATAAAAACATTCAGGCTTTTGTACCAGTGGAGCTAGGAAACTTATAAGCGCCACCACCGATGTGCCACCTACTGAGACATCACTTCTGCAGCCACATCCTATTTAATTTGCTATCACAGCCTTCCTTATCTTGTGACAACTGACAGGATTACAGGATATCCTGAGGCTTTTTTTTTTAATGTTACTACAAAGAAGCGCTTGGGGTATAAGTGTTATATAGCTCAGAGTCCTTGGTTTCATATAGTGGCAGGTTTTCTTTTATTATTATTATTATTATTATTATTATTGATGGTCCTTGTGGAGTTGTTATTGTGTTTTAAAGTAGTATTCTTTCAAAACCTAGAAGCAAACTCCAGTGGAGGGGAAGGGTTTAGGACAGTCATTAAACCATATGAACAAATTTGAATCTCTCTCTAAGAATACAGTGACCAACTAGTGAAGCCTGATATGGGCATCTCATCCTGAGGAAACCAGGAGAGTGGTTAGACATTAAGGATGCCTGTAGACATGTGGGGATACTGCTGTGATGCATTGTAATTACAGTACATCAAAGCAGACTCGATTAATTGAGTCTGCTCGAGCGTACCAGTTAGCACACTCCGGCAACCTCCACTTCTTGTGTATCAGTGTCCCTGCACTTCAAAATGGTGGTGGGGGTGCTTTAACTCAAGCTCATTCAAGGACTCTAAAGTGCCTCCCACCCCTGGAGCATGGGTAAAAAACACCATAACCTTCCCACATGTTAAATGTTCCTAAGATGGGAGTGTCCATGCATTAAGGCAGGAAAAGATGACCTAAGTGGGTTCTGAGTTTCTCAGAGTTACCCCCCTGTGGGCAAGGAATATCTTCAGCTGATGTTAGGCAGCTCGTGTTGCAATATCAGTCTGCTCCACAGGGCCAAAATAAGCAATTTGCAATCCTCTAGCATCCCAGGATGGACCATCCCAGCCCCCACTTCCCCATCCAACATGTGGATAATCTATCCTCCCAGAGTCTACTGCCCCAGATTACTGGGGAGCCAAGCAGCCAGACTGAAGGTGACCCTGGTAGCAGCTGCTGGGGAAGCAGAGCAACCAAAAGGCAAAGTTGGCAGACTAGGCACACCCAGGCTCACCAGCCTTATGGTTCACATTAGATGGTATTAGCCCTTCATATGCAACTGCTCACAGCACATTCTAATTTTAAAACCACATCACATTCAGTAGAGTTCGTCCATGCGAATTGTAATGTCTGACAACATCCCAGCTCTAAAGTAGAACCTAAGGGCGTGTGTAGACAAAAGAGGGGCCCTAAATTGAAGCGGTGGGATTTAAAAAACACCGCTTCAGTTTAGGGCTGATTAAACCCCTGTGCTGTGCATGCACCCTGCTGAGTTACCTGGTTCTCCGGCAGGGAGGGGAAGGGAGGGTGAGCTGCTGGCAGGCAAAGCAGTCTCTGGACTGCGGGGGGGGCTGGTGCTTCCCTCCACAGCAGCAGCAGCTGCCACCACACCCCAGGTGGCACTCACACGCAGGCACCCAGCTCGGGCTGTCAGTCATAGTACTTGGGGTTGGAAGGGACCTAAACAGATTATCAGGTCTGACCTCCTGCCCTGGGCAGGAACACGTGCCAGGATCATATCACCTCAGCCAAATATCTATCCAGCCTTCTCTTGAAGCTCTCCATGGTAGGACCACCTTACTTGGGAACCCATTCCAGATCCTGACAGCCCTAACTATGAAGTAAAGAGAGAGAGAGAGAAAAGCACCAGATCCCCACACATCTCAGGCAGGCTCCAGAGTGGGGGGGAGTGGAGATCAGGCTTGCCCCTTTTCTTAGGCAGAGCCTGCTTTCCTGGGCTGCTGCCAGACTGCCTGCAGAGCTTTGTGCAGAACTGTGGAGCTGCATGGAGCCCAGTGTTTTGCTCTACGGCTGTAGGGGCAGCAAATTAAAACTCCTCAAAGGAGTTTTAGTTTGCTGCACCCCAAGTCATTTAAGGCTCTTTATGCCGCCAAATTTCCTACAGCAGCTGGAATTAGTGTGCAATACACTGCCAAGGTGTGCAAACACCGACACCATTAAAGCAGTGCAAAAGCATTTAGCCTGCTTTAAAGTGTTATGCACACACGCCTCTCGTTTTGTCAGTATATGGCCTTCAGGTCTAGCAATACTTAATAGCCGTTGGCAAACTCCTCTGTTGATGCTGCACTTATGCAACACTTCCAGACTGCTTCTTCCCCAGCTTGAGCTCCCTGCTGTCTCCCCTTGGGCCTTGAAATGCTAAAGAATCACTTGCAGCTGGGCTCCTACCCCAGAGCTCTCTGCCCCACTTAAAGGGCCAGACCACTCTGTTGCATATCCCTTCTTCCCACCTTCATGAGTAGAATCCAAGACCCAGTCTTCTGTATTCAGTCAAGCCAACCCCATCTGCCCCCAAGCAGTCTGCATTGGCACATGCCACTATGGAGTAATGGCAGATGTCAAATGAATAAGGCTGCAGTGCCAGGTACCACATGAGCCAAGGGGTTAGCTTCCATCATCACCAATGTAGATGTACAGAAGAAATTTGCAACCTAGTCTAACTGGTCATGCACAAGTGTTGTAAGAGTGCAAGTACCTCTTTACTAGTAACTTGTGCCATGTTGAGGAGGTAGACTAACATTGGAAGCTTTTGTTGGGCAGATAAGGTGTTCTCAACTAAAAATAAGTAACAAAATAATTCAGTGAGCAGATCTGAAAGTTTGAATTGGGGAGGGAAACAGTAAGACACAGGGATGTTGACAAAGCTTTCAGAAATTAGGAAGAATATGTAAGCCATCTATAACAAGGTCCAGCCCCAAGGATAGCCATGACACCACTGGAGCCCACTCCAGCCTTGTCCTCTTCACTTTCTTTGGGCAATCTCTGCTTCAATTTGCAACTTTCCTTCCATGGATTGATGGAATTCATTTCAGAAAGGAGGCTGTCCCAGGACTCCCCAAGTGAGATGTCATATTCATCAACACAAGCATTACTACTCATCACCTTAAGGGCCAGTTACATGGCCTCCTTATCTCCCCTTCTAGAGATACCCAAGCCTTGCAGATGTTTCTAATTATTGGGTATTGAGGCAAATTGTCCAATCCAGTAACACTCTCATCCATGGGCCTTCAGCCCAGTGTCAACTGCAATCAATGCAGGCCCCTAAACTTGGAACAGTCTCTGCCACTACTGAGAACTCCAGCCCTAGTGCCCTTAAACATCTGAGCCCCTCCTAGACCTGGGCCTCTGCCAGCCTCTACCCCTCTTGGGCTTAGGCCTGCATTCTGTGCCATTTCTGGCCTCAGGCCTCTGTCCTTTCCAACAGACTCTACCCATCTCATGTTATGGGCCCTCTGGCCCTGCTTCTTCTTACCCCTTACAGGCTATAGATCCCCAACACTAGCTCTTGCCCCTTGCAGGCTATGGGTCCCTGACCCTGCTGGCTCTTCTTACTGTCTGGCTCCTAAGCCAGTTGAGACCTCAACCACCCATATTCTCAAGTCTCTAAACCACCAGTCTTGCCTTCCTCAGCTCAGGTGTTAATTAGGATCCTTGCTAGAACCCTTCTGCTCAAGAGCTCTTCTTTCCTTGACTTTCACATCAGACTCAGCTCAGGCTATCGGTTTATATCCTGCAAGCCCAACCTCTTTTGGGCTCCCTTGATTGACTTCTGCCTCACCTGCAGCCTGCCTTCTCTTAAAGTAGCAGGAGCACCCACCTTCCTGCTATACCATCTCGCCTGGTTTGTTGATTTACAAGCACTGCAGGAAAAACTTGGGGGAAATAACTAACTCCTTTGACCTGGAATAAATCATGTCACAGAATTTATAGCAAATGTTTACCCCAGCTTCACAGGACTGTCAACACTAAACCCAGCCTGTGTTTGCCATTCAAAATAAAAATTTTGTGCTACAACACAAAATGTTAAGCATACCCCATGTTACTAGTTTTATCAAGATTGATGGCACATTCGTGTGTCAAACTATTCTGTAGACACATATGAAGGGGGAAAAATGAAAAATTGCAAGGTAACTCAGTTCATGAGTAATGACACTGGAGTATTAATTTTATGTAGAGTCATAGATAAATGTGTTGCTTTTTAAAGCAAATACATTAAGTCCTTGCCCCAGAGTGTTTCCTACAGGTCTTATCCTGTAAGCACTAATTAATTAGTAACTTTTACTAAGTGGGGTAGTCTCACTGATTTCAATTACATTTAGTAGATTAGTCTTATGACTACCAGTGTTGCTTGGCATTATAGACATTATTTCTACATAAAATTTTGAACATGGTTTGTTATGGTCTACATTGAATGTGAACTAGGTTAGTATCTTGTTGTTAACAGTACAATTGTTCACAAGTGGTCATCAGCTGTGAAATTTGCTATCCTAGCTAGATGAGCCATGGCAGCTCTGAGCAGCAGTCAATCTCCTCGTTAACTAGTTTTTCAAAAACTTTAGGAATACAGTGCACAGACAACAAAGGCATCCTTATTACATGGCATGCATCATCCATTCGTACAAACCTGTTACACATTTTAGGTGATATTCAGAATTTACTGTTTCTGAGTTTTGTATGTACTGAACAGGGAAGTTGACTTTAATTTTCAGCTGCTTTTTTCAATGTATAGTTGTTAAGACTGTTTTTAAAGAGACCATTAGCTAAGACACTTCAGGTGCTTAAGACAATATAAGATACACTACTTTTACCAGTCTTACCATGAAACCTCAGTTTCCTGTCAAGAGCTACGCCTTTTGAAGTCACTATAAGCTGATGTTATGCCTTTTTGCAGAGCAGGCTTTTTTTGGCTTCCTTGTATAGAGAACTTGTACAAACTGCTGAGACAGACATGGAAATAAAACCAAACAGAATGATGATGGGGAAGAGATGGTCTTTCTTGGTGTTCTTCTTGTTTGTCCATGCACATGAGATAGTTGGTAAGTGTTCTAAATTAACTTTGTTTAAACTATAAACCAAAAACTGTTCTCATAGAATGGTTTTCTTTAACTCATTTGTGTAAATAGTGTAAACTTGTTGTTTAATGCAAGGATTGTACTATTAAAGTTATGTTTGTGCATGTGAGGGGGAGGGGGCAGCTTTCACATATTTGCAGCTTAAGTTTTTAGAAATTGTCTTCACTAACAGCTAAGGTTTTTTTTTTTAAGTTAGCTCTTTTAGTGGTCTCTTGTTGCAACGACCTCTTGCTCACTTTGGGTAGAAAATGTATTTGAAGAATGAGTACTTCACTCTGAATTAAGAGTGATACCCCACCTCTCACATACTCAGATATGCAAGACTTATCAGACCACAAACTGCAGAGTCATGGTATTTGCTGATGGAAACTCCTGAAAATATTAGGTCCCCCAATCATTGCATATATTGTATTAAAAGGTTGTTGTCCTAGTAAAAGGACAAGGTTGTTACTAGGTAAAACATTTTCTGTGTCAGAATAAGATGTGAAGAAAGGGGAAGAGAAGAGTCACATGGATATCATGGAGCTTCATCAGACAATTACATTTACTGCAATAAAGCTGGGTCTGAAGTTTTTAGAACCTAATTTGAGAGCGCTTCAGTTTGGCGGTATGCTATTTGCTGCAGATCTGAATGTTGAGGATTCCATCTATTTTCAGTACAAAATTAAATACAGTCCTGTGAACATAAATGGATGCTGTGAGATGTGGCTGAATTTTATCAAAGATTGCATTTAAAATGGAGTATTTTGGGGAAGGCAAATTGATCACGATCAAATTTGGGAAAGATCTTCATTTTTATCCATAAAATATAAAATCTCCTAAACGTTAAAAGAGCCAGATAAGATGACTAATGAAGAGGCTTTGTGTATACCAGAGCTCAACAAACACAGATTAGGACAAAATTGTGCTATTCTTTCTGCAAGCAGCTTCCTCATTTCAGTTCAGTAGGGCTGCTAGTGTTCAGCTCCTTTGAAAATCAGAGTGCTTTAAGTAAAGTGCCTGAGCTGCCTGTTCTACTAGGTGCTTTTTATGGATAAAAACTCAGGCAGGAACAAAGACTAAAGATAGGTTTGTGGGCCTAACCTAAGGTACGTGAATTTAAAAAAGAAAAATAAAACTCAAATCAACATGAAACTGAAAGAGAAATAATTTGCAAGATATTGGTGACAATTTACAACAGAGCTGTAGCTCACATTGGATAAAAGGGGCACAGTGCTCTGGTATTAATTAAGCGTGGGAAAGCTAACCTGAAGATTCCAAATTCCTACTTGACTTTTAGACTTTACATGTGCTATTAAAAATAGTTCTTGTCAGATATTTTTTATCCGGGTCCAAGTCGAGTGCAGCAGCTGCATGAATGCTACACATGCCTTACTAAGTAGAGGTCTTGGACCTGCCTGCTGGACAGACCCTGAGGTCCTAGATCACTTTCTACTTTGTATTCAGTGAGAAACTTTCAGTGAAAGCAAGGAAAACATTGCTAGAGTAGGGTCCTAGGTTCATTAAAAATCATTTAAAAAATAATTCTTTTCTCACACCTCTCAAGCAAGCCTGCACATCATAGCTTCTCCACCTCCCTGTTTGTTTACTGCAAAAGATGCACGTGATAAAATAATGAAATCCTGGCGATCAATGCTTTTATTACTTGCTTATTTATATATGCATGTTACCTGTTAAGACCCTCATTCTGCAAATTATTTTCTATGGTTCCTTGCGGCCTTGGCTTGTAAGGTCTTCAGGGCCTGCATTTTGTAATAAGAAGGGTTTCTACAGGATGTCAGCAACAAGAGGAGGGCCAGGGAAAGTGTGGGTCCTTTACTAAATGGGGGAAGCTACTTAGTGACAGAGGATACAGAAAAGGCTGAAATACTCAACAGCAGCAAAAGAACAAATTAGGGACTACTTAGAAAACTAGATGTGTACAGGTCCGTGGGGCCAGATGGGATGCACCCAAGGGCACTGAGGGAGTTGACTGATGTGATTACAGGGCCTCTGGCCATCATCTTTGAAAAATCATGGTGATTAGAAGAGGTGCTGGACAATTGGAACAGGACAAATATAGTGCCCATCTTTAAGAAATGGAAGAAGTAGGATCCAAGAAATTGCAGACCAGTCAGCCTCACCTCAGTGACGCGGGACGTCCATTAGTTCCCTGCAGACCCAAGGGAGCTGCTCTGCCCTTTTGCTGCCTTCCCTCCGAGAAGGGATAGACATTGCTTGTGCTTCCAGGATTGCTCCCTTGAGGAGCAACCACTCATCCTGAACTCCCCTCCCCTTCAGATTGTGGTCCCTTAGGGCCTCACCAACAAGCCTCCTGAGCTTGTCAAAGTCAGCTTTCCTGAAGTCGAGGACTTCTGCATTGCTGACTGACTTGCCAGCTTTACGGCGGCGAAGGTGATCAACTCACCGTTGATATCTCCCAGCTTCCCTTTGATTGTTAGGCCACTGATTAAGTCAACCCCCATTGCCAGTAGCAGGTCAAGCAGCGCTTTGCCTCTCGTCAGTCCATAGACTTCTTGAGTCAGGTAGAGCTCATCCATGCACATGAGTAAGCTTTGAGACTGTTCGGATTTGGCTGAGTTTGCAGATGACACCAAGCTGGTGGGAGTAGTAGATACAGTGGAGTGTAGGGCTAAGATTCAGAGAGACCTCAACAAATAGGAGGATTGGACTAAACCTTGTGTGGTTCAATGAGGACAAGTCAAAGTCCTGCACTTTGGATGGAACCATTCAATGCACCACTACAGGCTGGGCACTGACTGGCTGGGCAGCAGCTCTGCATAAAAGGACCCGAGGATTACAGTGGACAGTAAGCTGAATATGAGCCAACACTGTGCCCTTGTTGCAAAGGAGGCTAACAGCTGGCATTAGTAGGAGCATTGCCAGCAGGTTGAGGGAAGTGATTCTTCTCTATTCAGCACTGGTGAGGCCACATGGGTGTTCAGTTTTGGGCCACCCAATATAGAAAAAATGTGGATAAATTGGAGAGAGTCTATCAGAGGGCAATGAAAATGGTTAGGGGCTGGGACACATGACTTGAGGAGAGAAACTGAGTTTATTTAGTCTGGAGAAAAAAGTCTAAGGGGGGATTTGATAGCAGCCTTCAACTACCTGAAGGAAGGTTCGAAAAAGGATGGAGCTAAACTGTTCTCAGTGGTGGCAGATGACAGAACCAGGAACAATGGTCTCAAGTTGCAGCAAGGGAAGTTTGGGCTAGATGTTAGGGAAAGGTTTCTCACTAGGAGGGCAGTAAAACACTGGAACAAGTTACCCAGAGAGGTTGTGGACTCTCCATCCATGCAGATTTTTAAAACCTGGGTAGACGAAACTTTGGCTGGGACTATTTGATTGGGGATGGTCCTGCTTTGAGCAGAGGGTTGAACTTGATGACCTCCTGAGTTCCTTTCCAGCCCTAATTTTCTATGATTCATATCTGTTCATACAGTTCCTACTGCACTCTTAATTCTGCACAAATAACTTAAGGTACCTGTTAAATCACACGTTGTTTTTTTATGGCTCAGGCTTTTGGAGCACAGTGCTGTATGGTTCTAGCTAACTTAATAACAAAGTGAAGTATCTCTTAGAAAACTCAAAATAAATAATCTAATTGAGGTAGACAGGAGAGAATGGGAGGCAAAAGTAATTGTAACATTCTAGGGAGCTGAGGAAGGTTTAAGAACTGAAGGTGGTGACTGGAGGCAGGAAGAAGTTAAAATATTGAATGAGTCATATATTCCATTATTCAAGAGCCCTGTATGCCAGTACACACTCTTTTTCCTGATGGACAAAAGGATAATGCAATGTACAGTATTCAGTGTTAAGACTAGTTGTTTGGTTAAGTGACTTTTACCTGGGGATGAAGACTATACACAGTAAAGACAAGCATGCTTTACACCTACCTGTGAGCTTGGAATTCAATGGAGGCAACAGACCCTAAAAATGAAGCTTCTAATTGAGGAAACCTTTTCATTCATACAATTAACTCTGTGTTTTTATATGACCTGCCAAAAATCTCAAGTTGCCTTAAAAACTGAATGATAAGCCATGCATGTGGGGGCTGCTTGCTCTAAAAATGAAATAAAGTTCAAGTAATCAAGCACTGAAGCTATTCACTAATGGAAAGATTATTTTCCACCCCTCCCCCCCCCGCCCAGCTAAAACTGCAGAGGTAACTGAGATAAGCAAAATGGGATTTTTGATAGATGGGAGTCGTACCTTCTGTTCTTGCCAAGACACAGAATAATTATTATGGATTTAAATATTTTAGTTACTTGCATGTACCTGTCTTGAACCTAAGGGGCTCATTGCATGTCCTACATGAATTCTTCCATTTGTCTTACTGATATGTCATGTGTATTCTCTACATTAAAGATATCATCAAGCTGTGTTTAACCTTGTCATATGAACTGTAGTATTTGAAGTAAGATGTATTTCTTATAAGCTTACAACAGGGTCAGGATTGCACAATATGGTAATGATTTTCAAGCCTAAATTGCTGGAGAGCAGTAATGGTTTGGAATTAACATTTGACTTGACTGGTTTGACTTGAGTTGTTTGCCACCACCCGCAACACAGACATATTTTGAAACACAGGAGCCAGGCTCTTCCAGGCACCTGGTTAGTCAAACTACTGGGGGAAACAAATGAAGTACAGTATTATTAGGATATTGGATTAGTATGCCTGAAAGGCTGCAGCTGTTCTCTTGGTCTTAATTAGATCAGAAAAGATATTTCTGAAGTAGTGGTAAACACGCATCTCTGGGAGGCAGGAAGTTATGTGCATTGTGTAGGCTCCCCAAGAATGTGAAAGCTGATGTATGTGAATAGCCATAGAAACGCCTGTATTTAAGTCCACCTCTAGAGCATGGTGAGATCTTTTTAGTCTAGTATTAATTTCAGTGGGTCTGGGAACCATGGGAATTAATACTGTTCCCATTCCCTCCCCACACCACACTGGCCTTATTTCCAGGCCCAGTGGTAGCCTCCCTCCCATCCGCATACCGCACTGGGCTGGTATGAAGTTGGTCCACAGCTGGATCCAGTGCACCAAGCCCAGGCTAGCGCACAGCTTTGGACCTGATGCACAGAATCTGACCCTACATGCTGGCTTTAGAGCCATGTGCTGGGTTGGATCTGGTGTATTGAGTCCAGAACCGTGTGCTGGTTCCCCATGCTGGGTCAGACCCAGCAAGTGGCTCCAGAGCCAGGGTCCTGGACTTGGTGCACAGTTTTGGAGCCAAAACATGAGGTCAGACCTAGGACAGAATCTGGAGCTGTGCACTGAGTTGCATATGGTATGTGGCCCTAGACTCATCATTTTAGGCTGGGGCTGGTATGTGGCCCCAGACCTGGCCTGATGCATGTCTCCAGACTTGGTGTGCCTGATCAGGCAGGTGGACAGAGATCTCTATGCTGGGAGATGGGGAAGTTCGCAGGGTTGGTGTTTGGATCCGAGCTGCGGCTGCTGCTGCTTGCCTCCCCCAGATCCCTTAGACAAGGCAGTAAGCAGAGCAGCCTGCAACCCTACACTCTGAGTGAGTTTCTCTGCCTTGGATTGCCATGGGGCTGTAGGCTGAGTCCGTCTTCCCTCGCTTCCATGAACAGGGAAACAAGCAGGCTGGCTTCAGGAACCACTGTGCCTTCCAACTGTGCCATAGTGCAAAGCCAGATACTGTCAGGAAAGTTTCAGAGGAATCCCCCTTCTCCTTTTTCCCTAGCTGCTGCTACTAAGTTACCTGCCTAGATAGGACTTTTTTTCATAATGCCTTTCAAAAACAGGGTATGTATGTATTATATTTGAGGGTGTGTTATGTGAGAAAATAGTGTCATCTGAAAGATTTGCATTTATGCAGGGATCCCTCAAATCCCTGCCTTTTGCTAAGAGGTGAACTTGTGATCCTGCTTGAAGTGTACTTGCTTCTCTGGGTCCTCTCCTGGTATTTGTACCAGTGACCTGTTTCTGCTAGCTGCTAAACCTTCTCAGTTTACTATCCACTGATCTGGTTTTAGACCTCAGTCTATCATATGTCTGGAATTTGTTGGTGGTGACACCAAATAGTTTCAAAGACTGTCTAGAAGAGTTTTGTCCATGAGCCTTGACAATCACTGTTTGTTTGTTATTAAGGCCTATCTGAAAGCACCATTATCAAGAAGGGAGCAATTCATGCTGTCCCTGGTAGCAACGTGACCCTTACATGCACCATCCTGAAAGAATCTGGGATCCACATAACACAGACACAATGGTCAAAGATTGAAGATGGACAACACAGAACAATAGCTGTTCATCACCCTGTGTATGGAATTCAATACTTACCATTACCTTTGGCTACTTACAGTTACACAGTAGTTTTCAATAAGAATCCTTACTGTTGGGAAAATGATAAGACTTCCAGTTCCCACAGACCTCCAACAAATTCCTTGGAATGCAACCAGTGGATTCTGCATTTTCACAATGTTAGTCTGTCACTCAGTGGGCTGTATGAGTGCAGCTTTACTACCTTTCCAGCTGGGCTGAAGACTGCAGAAATTAACCTTACAGTAAAAGCAGAAGGTAAGCAATATTAAAATTGTATTTTGGTTTTAATTAACGTGGTGGGGGAGGGATACCCTGACAAGAATAGGATGTGGAGGTTTCTTTTTAGTCTGTCATTTGTTTTGAGACTTAAGATGTGCACTTGTAAGGAGCTGACCTAGACAATTTGTTTCAGCTGTTGTCCTCTGCCCTAATGTCACTTACATTTACTTAAGGCACTATTTTTATTGGGTTTTTTATGATCAAAATGGTGTACTTTCATGTATCAGGTTGATGGTTAGTAAAAATGGGGAGGAGCTAAAAATTAAATGAGTGACAGTGAGGATAGATAAGGTGTGCCTGATAAGAGAAAAATAGACAGGGTAGAGAAAGGTAACTCTGGATTGGCCAGACCATGTCGCTTCCTGGAGAACTGAAGGGATCCATCTCACAAATACTGTGCTGTGTGTGTTGAAATTACTAGTACTAGGACTGAGTATCAGAAGGGTTAGCCTCTTGAACTGGTCTGAGTTGATGTAAGCTTGACTTACAAAGAGGCTAATTGTGGTCTGATGAAGTCTCACACTTCTGACTTCAAATGAACTGAAAAATAAATGTGGCTAGGCTTGGCAAGTTTCAGTGCAGAGTTGTTGAAGATCAGAGGTCTGGTGTTTGTCCAGACCTACTTCAGTGGTGTTTAAGCAACTTGGTTCAGCTCTTCTGCAAGATTTAAGGAACATGGCTCAAGTTCAGGAAAGAAGAATGGAAGAAACTTGGCATTCAGGGTAAAATACTGATTCCAAACACAGATTACTAATTGATTTCAGTGGCTCTAGGATATGGTCTGCTTCTAGACGGAAGACTTTATCTTGCTATCCAAAAACAAATATATCAGCATGAACAAGCCAAAACTCACGGAGTTCCTAAGATTTCATATGTGTAATGTGACTTTTTTTGTTTTAATTATCCTGGACTATTATTTGACTTGTATCTGTTACACCTGTTAAAACAAGAACCCACTCCTTTATTGGAAGTATGATAGATGGTAGATTTTTAGTGAGGAAGGAGGTTCCAATTTAACTTCTTTCCCAAAGGAATTCCTTACAGGGTCCAAATAATTTCCTCTATGGGGAACTCTCTTGCTGTTCAGGTAATAGCAAAAGTAAATGAAATGAACAAGTGAAGAGAAATTTGTGGCAGAAGTGGTGTTGGTGAATGCCTGAAATTTACCTGCATTCAAGGACAGCAGAAACAAACCTACCAGACACTGGGGGGGAAAAAACGGAGCCACAGGATTTTGGCCGAACTTTCCATGCTTACATCTTCGTAGAATCAAACTGTACTTCCCTGCCGTAGTTATTGCAATTTTATGTTCTGAAGAACACTAGCTACGGGTTGGGAAGGCAGTGTGTCAGATAAGAATCAGGCCATTCTCTTTGCATGGATTATTTTTCCTCTGTTCTTAGAATAATAAAGCTTTTTTTTTTTTTTCCTCCTGGTATTTTGGCATCTGATGCTGGCCCAACATTACTCTTGCATAAACAGAGAGACTTACTAACCATGTTCATCTGAAATCAGGCAGAAAGCAGGATAGAGATGCACTTTATAAACTAACTGAATCAAAGATTTATAAGCATTCATGAGCAAGAGTTCACTTCATCAGATGCTATATGACATGTATTTCTTCTATTCAGCACACCTCACTTCTATTCTGTCACTATGAATAGCTATATAGCATCTGATGAAGTGAACTCTTGCTCATGAAAGATGATGCAATGCTGATTCAGCTAGTCTATAAGAGCCATCTCTATCCTGCTTATTACCTAAATAGCTTCAGTCTGGTTCTTTGCAGCAATTGCACAAAGGGCATGTCTACATGTTGCCATATGGTGACATTACTAGAGCACTGTATTTTAGTACTTCCTTTTGCAAGTACTAAAACACAGGGCAGTATGAGCTGTTCCTGCACTGTGCATGCTGCCCATGGGTAAAGTTCCCAGTTATGTCTCTGTAGTGGTGTGCTATAGCCAGGGAGCATGCCACTATGGCGATGTAGCTGCTGATCACATGTAGACACACGTGATCACTATGTCATCATAGGGCAAAGTGTAGATGCGCCCAAGCTGGCAGACTATGATGGGGCAGATCCAGAGAGGATGCAATGTTGTGGCTGCCCCCCCTTCCCTTCCTGACCACATGGTAGGAGCAGCAGCTGGGGTCCCCAAAAAGATATGAATTTCACACCCCCTCCCTTCCCTTCCCTTCTGAGGCATTATCTCCTTTCTTCCCACTTTCTCTTTCAACACCTGCTGCTGGCAGCATCCCCACCGTCCTGGAGGCAAGGGAAAGCTCCTGCCCACTCCAGCTGGGCTGTGTGGGGACTTGCTCAGCCTAGGACAATAGGGGGAGGGGTGTGCGGTTGAGTTTTCCCTCGCTACTCCTGCTCCCAGACTGGTTCCAAACACCTAGGGGGAGCAGGATGGGGAACACTGGCAGCATCAGTAGGTGGGGAAGGAGGGATAGGAGGGGAAGGGATGGAAAGAGAAGGGGAGAGGATGTGCCTCTGAGCAGGAAGAGGAAAGGAAAAAGAGAATTTCTTGCCTCCTTTGGGATTTACTGGTCCTCTGTGCAGTCCACCCATCCGGGGGAGGGGAGAGGGAGCTGGTGTGAGGAGGCTGGAAGTGGAGGGGTGCAGCTACACTTGTAACATTGGTCACTGCTCCTGCACCCCACTTCATAAAATCCCGGATCCACCCCTGACTATGATATACTGATAGCAACTATAAGAAAGAACTGGGACGTGCTTCTTGCAGACCTCTATGCTACAGTAGCCAGATCTTATGGAATAAAACATTTGAAATCAAAAGAAAGCAAAATACATTGACACAAATCCAGAAGTGAGAGGGAGGAAGGCATTAGTAATTAACAAATAGCTCGTTCAGCTGCATCAAAGTAAAATGAATCCAGATGAAATGAACTAGTGGATTTTGCAACTCCCCTGTAAATCATTAGGGAGACAGCATGGTAAGATCAAACATCAAGGACTATAGCCATAACAGTTATTGGGGAAATGAGTCAATGGATAGAAAAGATAGAGGGATTGACATAATGGCATGAATGTGGAGAGGCAGTTTGCAGAATAAACTCCTGCATTGACTTTGTTTTAACCACTTTTTCCTGTTTTGCCTTCTGAGCATGTTTAAAACTTCCTGCCTTTTGCCTGCAGCAGGATGAATGATGTATTGTTCAGTTCATCCCAAGTGGTTCTACTTAGCTAACAAGCAGTGGTTCTGACTACTCCCTAGTTGAGGAGTTAGAGGGTTGGAGGTTCCGGTTCCAATTGCTGTTCCATTATTCCTTCTGCATTAATAGATGAGGGTCCTTCTGTAATGCTGTATTTACCTAGTTCCCTGCCTCTCCCTCATACAATAGCTTTCTCTGGAGCTTCCTGAGGACCAAATTATTCTGAGGATTTGATTTTTTTAGAGTGTTTTATGAAAAGACTGCTTCCCAACAAAGTCCCACTTCATCTTGGTGATAACGGTTGGTGTTCCTATCCAGAGGACTAAAAGGCATTACCACAAAGGCCACATATCCAATGAGCTGTGACAGATAAGCACATGACTAAGGGCCTTTAGTCTTCCACTATGACTTGTGAGCGAGATATGGGTTCTGAGAAATGGACTGGAGGAGGCAAGTTCAAGGGGCTCCAATCAGGAGAGGCAGGAGGCTGCATTTGGTGCCAATTAAAATTTGTCAAGTGGCTTTAAAGGGTACTCAAAGTAGATTACACAGCATTAGTCAACTGGAGATGACAAGGGCATGAGGAAATGGGTGCACTCTTGAAAACAGTGACTTTCCTTATTATGGCGAACTAAGAACAAACACCACCTTTAGTCATAACATTTATGGGATATTTAAGGCCATGCAAGAGAGCAGCAACAGAACCAATAAGCTCCTGAGATGAGACATCCCCTAGGTAAGAAGCAGAGTTATCCTTGGGAATCTGACGCATTCTCCCTTGTCAGATAGCATTGCATTTGTGTTGCTTCAGTAGACCACTATCAGGCTTTTGAAAGACATGAAGGTGACAGAACTGAGATGTCAGTGCCCTGATACTTCCTATAGAAGATTAGTCTCCTCTAGTGACTTCTTGAGGACATGGAACAGGGGGGGCAGCTGGAGTAACTAGGGATGCACCAACAGAGATTTTTGGAGCTGAAACCAATAGTTGACTTTTAAGGAGATAGACCAGCCAATACTGATCTGATTTCTGATACACAGCCCTGCTGCTTGAAGAGGAGTGTCCAGCTGGTAAGTCTGTTGTGGTGGAAGGGGAGGGAAGGGGTGTCAGGGGCAGATCAAGGCTCCTGTGGTGAGGGAGGAGTGGGGCTGAAGTTGGGGCAGGTGCTGCCCAGCCAGGGTGGGGTGGGGTGTTGGATGGAGCCACGGCTTGTCTGGGGAGCACAGGGAGGGGGGGGCATTGCCCACTGCGGTGCGCAACCTAGGAGAGCATGGGGGGGGCATGTGCCCCCAGATTTGTGCAGGGCGGGGCAGGCTGCAGCTGCAAGCTGGGGCCAGGGCTGCACCGGGCTCCTCCCAGTGGGAGGGGCTGGGCCAGGCTGCGTTCGAGGTAGGCAGCAGTTGTGATAGGGGGAGGGGCCTCAACCACCCCAAAATTCACCATAGCCCCCACAGCACCAGTGCCACCGCCAGCCCTGAGTGCAGCCCCAGCCCAACCCCACTCCCACCCCCCATGCTGGGAAGAGCCTAGAGCAGCAGCCCACCCCATCCATGCATCATGCAGATATGGGGGCACATGCCCCTCCATGCCCTTCTGGGGTGCACGCAGCAGCAAGAGCTGACCCTGCCTCCTCATGCACCCCAGATGAGCTGTGGCTCCATCCCACCCTGCCCTGGCTGGGCAGCGCCTACCCCAGCCCCACTTCTCCCTCACCACAGGCCTTGATCTGCCCCCCCCATGCCCGTTCCCTCCCTGCACCCTCCACCACAACAGACTTACCAGTTTCACACAGCTCTCCAAGTTGCTAGGCTGCAGTCCTCACTGCCTACATGCTACACTGTGGTTGTGAGCACTCACAGGCATTTATCAACCAAATTATCAGCCACATCAGGCCAATTTCTGGTACAGTCAATTTTCTTTATATGGGTGCCAGTCCGATATCAGACCGATGTATCAGTGTACCTCTAGGGGTAACTCAGAATATTAGAGCAATAAATGACTGTGGCCTGCTGAACCTCCTTCTATGGAGCAAATAGAGGTCATCTAAATTAACCCCATTCTCCTGTCATGCATCATCTCTTGGGACTTGGGTCCAAGCACAATGAAAGAATGAATAAAACCAGCCTGGGTAACCAATCGCTGTATGGGTAACCCACATGGAAAAAACATCATTGCAGAAGCTTGTTTTTGCTGTTATGCTTTGGTCTATGCGTAGCTGAATGTATAATCCCTCTGCCTTGTTAAGGATAGCATTTAAATCTTGTTATTAAGCCAGGTACAGTGACTAATACTGAAGAAGTTGCTGAATGAATAGGCCTTTAGTTATTAATTCAGTAAAATGTAATGCTATTGTTGGGTATGGGAGAGAAGAGTTGGATAGTTGCACCAATCAGTGTAAGTTTTGTTAAGGCATTTAATTAAATTGAATTAACCTGTTTCCTGAACTTGGCTCCTGCATGAAAGAAGGAGAGTCAAGGCTAAAACCAGAAACTGTTCTATTCTTAGTTGTTCTACCAACTCATTATGTGGCCTTCATAAAGTCACTAAATTCATCTCTACGTTCATGTCTGTAAGTCCAAGTTTAAGCTTAACTTCCATGAGGAGCAAAAAGGCTTGTGTGATGTTTATAAAGCCCCTTTCAGTCCTCAGATTAAAATTACTAAAGGTAGACAAATTGGTAGTAACTTCACTTTTTCCCCTTTTTCTCTTCATTCTCCTCTTGGAGAATGCCTTGATCAGAAGATGTCTGCAAGTTCTCCATGCAGACAGTTACCAGTAACAGATGTGCTCCAGATTTGGAATTGGGCCAGTAGTTTTCAGTTAGCAAGTACATGTATATAGGATTAGGAACATTAAGCAACGAATATTAGATATATATTTTTAAAGTACAATTAATTTTTTTTTCTTAATTTCCTAATCGTCTTTCTTGTATGTTGTTACAATGGTACAAGAGGAGCAACATTATGTGAAGAAAACCCTGTTAAAACAGACTTTGACAATCCCATGTCATGAAAATGTGATCTCTGGTAACTGGCCCTTTGAATGGGTAGTGGTAAGTATAACTCTTTTTATGTTTAAGATATTAGGAAGAAACTATGCTTCAAATAAAATAAATATTTCTTTGCAGGACACACATGGGTAAAATGGAATTGCTAGGCAAAAACTATAGATGGCATCAGTGTGAGTGTTTCTGACCCAAGAAACAGGGAAGACATGGTAGAAATTCATGGACTATTTTTGGTTTCCTGCTAACTTTGAAGTTAAAATCAGATTGTCGGGGGATAAAAAACAAACATGCACACACAGTTGACTACCATTGTAAAATGACTTTGAAAACTACTGTACATGATCCTAGCCATGAGTTAAACCAAGTCAGTCACATTTTTCCCCTCGCGTTATTCAGGGGAGTGTGCATGTGTACGTGCATGAACATGCAGCTCTGTCTGTCAGTTTTAACAGTACCTTGATTACTTTCCACAATCCTGTGACCAAGGGATTATTATCTGTATTTTTGTTCCTTCTTTTTTGAGGTTTATATCTCCTCTTACTTTTCAAGAACTCTAACTTCTGTTTTCTTTTCTTTTTTTCTTTTTAAACCAAGCTTCAAATGTAAACACACATTTTCTTCTCTTGAAAGCCTCTGTCCCCAATGGCTATTTATTTGGATCTTGTCTTTGCATTATACTGCTACTAAACTTAAAACTTTTTAGGCAAGGTCTGTTAGACTTAAGAAAGATGGATTCAAATTATCAGTAGAAGACAGCAAGGGTTAGTCACTTGGACATATTGAAATTTTACTTATCAGAGAGGTGATAATGCATCATACTACATGCACATTTGACCTTTACAAATGAACACAAAGTGTTATCCAACCTAACTTAAAAGACAAGACATTAAACTCTTCATTACATGGAATTAATTAAAAATGAAGAAGACAGTAGGTTTTTTTTCCTATTATTTTGATGCAACTAAAAATATAAATGTTAATTGAAGACAAAGAACGTTAAGTTTTCTTCAGCCTTTTTAATATTAAAAAATTATCTGACATTTACCTAAGACAGTGGTTTTCAAACTTCCTAAAGTCATGGAACCCTTTCATATCACTTCTGCCATAGCTCCTCAGGCTGTGTGAACTAACATGGAGCAAGGCAATCCAGACCGGCAGTGGTGGCACACTGCCTTCTAGCTTACTCTGCCATTACCCCCAGTTTCCACTCTGCCATTATCCCCAGTTTCTTTGTAGAAACCTTGATGACCTATCGTGAAACCCCAGAGTTTCACAGAACACAGTTTCCTGACCTGAACTTCAGATAAGAAAGAAGTATCGTGGTACTAATTTTTATTTATTATTTAATTTTTTGTATGCAGTTTGGGAGACTTTCCTACCTTTAATTTGGTAATCACTACTAAGTGTTCCAAGACCCATGGTTATAAAAAGGATAATTGCCAGAATTAAAGATAGCTAATGGAAAGGTTACAGAGTTCTACCTATTGGGGGAATAAAGGAGAATAAGTATGGTGGTAGGAACAGAGTTTGACTGGAAAACGTTCTGCTTGTGTTTTAAACAGAGAGATAATGGAAGTCAAGTAAAACTGATAACCAAAAATTCATACCAGCGTGAAGCAAATAAGACCAATAATTTGTTGTACAAAGACAGAATTCAGCTGGGTCCAGAAAATGCACTGCAGATTTCTCCGCTCAAAACTATTGATGATGGCAAGGCCTTCTCATGCCTCGTGACGTACCATCCGGAGAGAATCGTGAAGAGAACCACCACGGTGAAAGTGTTTGGTAAGAGGCTCAACTAACTCCTTTCTTATGTCTTTCTCTACTCCTCCTTTCTACAGTGTACAGTCACGTTCTGGCCTGGTATTATGCAGGCACCATGACTAAAATGCTTTTTGGTCTTTTTCCACCAGTTACAAAGAGGAGGAGTTATTGCAGATTGTTTCATAAAATAAACCCACCATTCTCGACAAACACTTAGTGCCAAAATTGTCGTTGCTGGTACTGGAGGCAGGTCTGAAGCATCAAATACATATGTTTGGAAAGTAACATGCCTGTGGAAATACTTTCAACCTGCCAACAGATGAGCAGTTGACTCATCTGTTTGCTTGGGCACAGTGAGGATTTGAGCAATTTGGCAACAACTGGCACCCAGAAGTAGGGCATCCTGGGTCACTTTCAAAAGCTTGCTTTGTTTAACTTAAAATGGCATAGGAAGGGTATTCAACAGCTACTGAAATACAATTACATAGCCTCATGGTTAAGCCAAGATACTGAAAAGGGGTTGTACAAGCAGCAACCATCACTGCAGGAGGAGTTGGGGGGGGGGGAGCAGCACCTCTGCTCCCAGATTCTCCACTCCACCAGGGTAAGCAGACCACACAGCAGAACCAACATCCAAGGACTTTATTCCTCTTAAGTCCCCAAATCAAGTAAGAATTTCCTGCCCCACCTCCCTTCCTCTCCAGACTTAGGATCATGTCACCTCCCTTCCCATTCTCTCCCTCCCGCACCCACCACTGCACCCCTCTGGACACTTCCCTACCCCTCCAGAATGCCTTGCGTACTGTCTTAAATCAATCTTAGTCCCTATTTCTATCTTCAGATAGTATTCCAGGTCTTAAAGGAAGCAATTCCAATGCTACTAAAAAAAATAGGTATCTAGCCAAGGGTCTGTCAATTGACTCGTTATTATATGTACCCTGCTTTAAGCAGTTTGTAGCACAGCTTTCACTAGGCTGACACTCGTAATATAAAGATGCAGTAAGCTCTGAGAGAGGACTCTGGGCTATCACTCACTGATGCAAATGAAACAGAAGTAGAAATTAGTGGTCTGAGATGTTTCTCTTGTACTTGTGTGATTCAGAAATGGCTTTTAAACTTAAGAAGTGACTTTTAACAGATTAGATTTTCAACCTGGATAACCCTGTTACTTTTTTTAATAAACACATAATTGAAGCTGTCCCAGAGTGAAAATATCCCCTTGTTCTCAGTGTAATTAAACAGGCATATTCTGATGTTGTTTGATATGCAAAGACACCCGTGCTACGATACGTTAGGATGTGAGTGGGTAGAAGCTGAGCCAGCTCTCACCACAGATGAGATAAATGATGACCTTTGTGCTCTGTTAAGCTTTTTGCAGTAGTCTCACCAGGTTCGTGTTGCTTTTACCCTGGTTCCCAGCAGCTAGCCTGGAAGTGAAGGATGCCATGACTAACAAGGCTTTTGTCTCTGGCACTTTTCTTTTTTTCCTCCAACCACACAGCAGAAGGGTTGAGGGGAGGGAGTGTTAAAGTAGAAACTAAACCTTAATTTTTTATTATTTACAATAATATCCAGATTCCATTTAGTCTTTTCTTCCTTTCCACTCCTCTTCCCTTTAAAAAACACAGTTAAGTATGTATCCTGTTCCTGGAAACACAAACTCTTCTCCAACTTACTTTCCCATTTCTTTTAGGTATTCCACCTTTCACATCTTTACTAATGCAATTCCCCTTTCTTTCCTTAGGTTCTATCCACAAACATCAGGGCCCATTTCAATTCCTCCCAGACTTTGTCTGTTGCTTGTTCCTCTCGCTCTTCACGGACCCTCTGTAGGTAGATTTTCATCTCACGTAGGCCTAGCTTTAAGCACTGTTTGTCACATCGCTCTATCTTTTTGAAGACCAGAAAGTTTCTTGCAGTCCACAACACAGTTTTGAAACTGATTACCATCTTCTGTCATCTGTACGCTCAATTTTGTTCCACTTTTGGTGTCTCTCCCCACTGCACCACTTCAGCTGTCAGTTTGGTACCTGTTATTAGGTGGTATAAACACTCTGCCCTTCTTTACACCCTTTATGCAAAAGCACAGTCCTGCACAAGTGCTCATGCATTTCTTCTCTGGTACACACATCACTTGAGCACTTCATGGTCCAGCAAAGCCACCAGCAATGTTGCAAATCACAAAGTGAAAATATTCTTCTGTGTATCAGCTTAGCTCTTGGTGCTCTTTTAGAAAGTATTTTTCACACGCCTCCTTCCAGATGCTTTCTCTGCAGAGTTTCCCAATCAGAGCTGTTTTCTCTCATACATTTTTTTGTTGGATCTTGTGATACCTTATAGTGCTCTAGGCCAGTAGAGCACACGTGATAGGGAAATGCAACTTCCTTCTCTTTTTTCTCTTTACCACTTTGCCATTTTATCAGGTAAAATGACTAGCAATCTCTCTCTTATCTCTTACTGTGACATACCTATATGTGTGTTTACTCACTTTTAGCAATGCTGGCTGTCTCTGGTTCTCAGTACAGTGTACTTTGTCCAGATGTGCTCTATTTATGCCTCTGAGGTAGGCAGATGCAGCAGAGGCTGAACACAAAGCTTGTGGGAAAAGCCCCAGTATAGGTTGATGTTGATGTTGGAGTCCCTGACAGACACAGACGTAGCACAACCTATTCTTAGATATCCTTTGTTCCCAGAGGAAGAATTGTGAAAGAGTAAGCAGGGTGACTTGCCAGGGCACAATATAGTCTGGCACTTCTCAGTCAGCCTGTGGTTGTTCAGGTTTGATAATTAACCAGCTTACGTTACAGCAGTCCCTGAATATTTTATACTGTCTGGAGATGGAGAATGAATGAGGGGACATCAGCCCATTTCCCCAGTCCCAGGCAGTGGGCCTCAGCTGGGCACACCAGAGATGACAGCCGGTGTGCAGTGCCTCTGGCAAGTCCTAAGTATGACTATCCCACAAATGCTTGCCAAGATACAGAAACTAAGCAGCACAGCCCATCTAGCATGGCCCCAAGCATGTGGCAAGAAACATGATTGAGACAGGGCGTAAAGGAAGTTCTAGCCATGTGCTCAAGGGCATGTTGAACCAGCTACACTGCTGACAAGTAGGCAAATCATGAATCTTGGCAGCACTCCCAGGCTTTCCAGGGATGAAGCACAGATATACATATGACCCTCTGTATGCAGGTCATCAATAACCATCTGTAGTAGCATTTAGTTTGTTAGACTTGAAATAGCATACAACTTAAAAAACAGACAAAACCCTAAGACAAACTTAAGTGTCAAGCAGGATTATCCAGCCCTAAAAAGCATAGACATGTAATTATGAGGTTTTCTTTAAAGACTTATAGAACAAAGTATGTAAAGAATGTGTCTTTCCTCAAAGTGCTGTCAGACATATCTTAACAAGAAGCTGGGTGCTTTTCCTTCAAGTCCCACCTTACCCGATACTGCCTTTTTTTCTTTGCTTTTCATAGGGTGAAAACCCAAACCAGAAACAATCCTACTAAGTATTGAATTCCTGCTAGTCTCAAAATATCTGTAAATGTCATACAAGGCAGCTAATAGAACATAGACATTAAATGGAAAGGACATACAGAATTAAGATATTCAGCTGTTTTCCCTGAAGATGCTGGGAAACCCCCCCCCCCCCTTTTTTTTTTTTAAAGGGAGAGAACAGCATAGCTGGAATCCAGTATAGATTTAGGAATCTAACCTTAATCAAGAAACAGAAGTAGAAGAGATCAACAATGGCTGGGAGAAAATGAAGGTGTAGTCTAGTCTTCTATAAATGTTAAAGGCTGGATAACGAAATAATTTTTCCTAAAGTTTGAAAACTGTGGCTATTGTCTTCCTGCCCCATTATATTTCTCTCTACTTTCCAATCTGGCTTAGGCTAAGATAGAAAACAAAATTAATATTTTAAAGCCTTCTTCTCCCTCTACAGTATTTTGGAGATGCCATAAAAAACAAAGCAAAACAACACCACCCCTTCCTCCGAAATAAAAACCTGAAGCATAAAATAAAAGCTGGGCCAAGTCTGATACAATGATGACTGTCTTTTTTTCATATAGATAAGTAGATGAAGTGAGTTGATAAGGCAAATATTGCTTTAGTCTTGAAGAATGACTGAAAAACTTGGACAGACTGCTCAGTGAGGTAGCATCAGAGGTTTATTTGCTAAACTGTGGAGGCCTTACAGTGCTTAGGATAGTGAACAAAGGTAATGGAGCTGCACTTATCTTGTAGAGGCAGGCTCATAGTAGGAAGAACCAGAAATCTCAAAAAGGAGCTTTAGTCAGCTAAGATGTCTAATCCAGGTTTGCAGTCTACCAGAGGACATAGATAGGGAACACAGGACCTTTTCAGATTCACCAATCAATAGTCAACCACATGGTTGAAGGGTTTTTAGCTTACAAGTCATTTGAGATTATTAGTGTACTTTCAGTGGTGCTAGAGTGGTGATTTTGTTTATGATACAGTAAAAGCCACATTATCTGGCATGCCAGTTATTAAGGTACCAGTTGACGTGACAAAAGCGAAACCGGAAGTGCCCACCATGGCACTTGCAGTTTCACCGAGCCACCATGGCCCGGGGCAAAGCAGCCTGTGCTGCTGAGCCCCCATGACCCGGGGCATAGCAGCGTTTTCCCAGTGTGCCCGGGCCCCCCCTCCCTGTCCCCCGGCACACAAACATGGTAGGAGAGGTGGCAGCACACCAGATGGGGCGGGAGAAGTGGCAGCCCAAACAGGCCAAGACGCCTGTTCGAGCTTCTCAGATAAATGGCATATTTGGTTATCCAGCACCCCACCACCCCATTCCCCATGGTACCGGATAACAAAGCTTTTGCTGTAGTTGGCTCATTTGCCAACTTGTTTGCTGTATTTCCTTGAATAATAAATTCATATAGACACATTTAAAATGTATAATAGCTCAGGACAGTAGAGTCACCGGCACACACAAGACGAGCAGTGATGGCAAGAAACCGCATATTGTCTTCCAGTCCAGGTAGATTTGGTCATCACAGGCCCATTATTTTGATGTGAACTTAATTCTGTAAGTCAGAAATGAGTTGTCAGGGCAAGTCAAGGATTCATCATTGCAAGATGTTGTGAGGATTTTTCTCAGTCTGCAGAGCACAGATAGCTCTGCTCAGTGAACTCCTTTGGGAATTATAGAGAGAGAGGAGGAGTGACAGTAAGTTTCAAGGTGAGTGTTGAGCAGGAGTAAAATCTTATTTTTTGCAGCTACCACAACTTTTGTTGTTTGATCAACATGTGGACAGAAGTCAGGAGGGCAAGATTTATCTTCAGCAGCATTATAAAATAAGGTTTTTAGGGTAACAGAACAATGCATACAGATTGATTGGAACTGACTTCTTGGACACACAAGTCTAAGATATTAGGATCATTAAGGAGGAGCATTATGTATCTTGTAACATGTTTCTGATAGCCTAAATGTAAGCCTTTTCTCTGCTGCTTCTCCACCCTTCCCCAAAATGGCACTTAACTTGTTCTTATCATGCATGTTATGTCATTGTTATAGTATCCGTAGGTTTATATTTGTTTTATGAAATAGGATACAAAGTCTCTTGAGAGAGAAGCTACATTTTAATACTATCAGTTACATTAAGATGCCTTTATTTGCTTTCCAGCCATACCAGAAATATCTATTACCTCCCAAAGTAACTCCATTGGCACCTTGCAGGAGGTGAGTGATTTTAGAACTTCCAATAAATAAAAATGACAAGTCACAGAGTTGTGTTGTGGGCCATGCGGGATCTGGTAAACCAAGCAATATCAGACAGAGAATACATTGAAATGCCAACCAGATCTTACAGTAAGTCATGACAGCAATTTTAAGGTCAATAGTTCGCATTCTTCCCTCTGAGCTATTATTGAACCAGCCTGTTGCTATGGAATAGTATACTCTAACAAAATTTAAAATAGAGGTGTAGTCTGTTATTTGTTAAAGATCCTGGAGTCTTTCATGCAAAAGTATGTCAACCACTGACTATACTTTCATGAACATCAAGCAAGGAATTCTTGAGAAGGCCCCAAGAGGACATACCTGGCAGCATTCATAACAAAAGAAAAGTAAAGTTTGAGGCTGTACTGTATATCAAAGCACTGTCATAGATTAAGGAACAGTTTCATCTAGGAAGTGGTGAAGATCATAAGATTATTGCTATACTGTTTTTAAAGTTTGTTACAACCTGTTGATTAAAAGTAAATGTGACTGTTGACAAGGCAATGGAACTACACAAATTACAAAAGTACAGAGTAAGGAAATATAAATGTGAGAAACTGGGGATGACAGGACTTGTAAGATCCTGAAATAAGCAAAATGCAAACACAAATCCATTCCTTGTGGTCCTCCCCAAAAATTTTGGGTAGAGGAGCAGTTTATGCAGCCTGCCTGATGAAGTTGTCACTAAAGTGATCCAGATAATGCTACTGCCTATCCACAGTAATGTTAGCTTCCATCCTAAGCCACTGAAGATCAGTAAGAAATTGCTGTTAAACTCAGTTGTTCTTCCAGATCCCAAACCTAGGCCATTACAGTGGCTCTGTTCCAAGGAAATAAAGTTTGTGGCCATTCCTTTGTGGCTGCTGATGATGAAAGGAGATGCACAAAATATAGCCTTTAGCACATGTAGAAGCCCCTGGACAGCCACAAGAGATGCTTGCTGGAGATTTAATAGATTGAGTATCATTCCTCCTATGCCACTAAGCATAGGGCTACATGATAATGGCTTTTGCATCATCAGACAATAAAAAGGGTGGGACTGAAAAGCTGGCTGGGATTTTACATCTTGCTCTCGCATGGTTCTCAGCTCTGAAACCAGTTCTTTTGCATCTATTCCCAAATAGTTAGGTTTAACTGCTGATTTAACTTGTGCTGAGACCCAAACCAGCCCTGGAATCGCATACTAAATTGAGTGCATCTCAGTATTGAAGTGACACAAAGCCAATGCTGTCACCTGTGTTGTGTCCTACTCTGAGTACATCTGGACCCAAGGATAATCACCCAAATGAAGTATTGACATACACTGCTGGGATTGTTGGGATCAGGACTGAAGCATAAACTCCAATATTGTGTGTCCATATTCTGACCTGAACATCTGAATATGGAATTTCTGCCTTCTATTATGCTACTTACATTTGAAAATTGTGTCCTATGTTTTAAATTGCAATATGCATAGTTGAAGGGAAGTGTTTTGCTAACCCAGACTATAGTTAGTATGAAATGTATACCAAATAACCAAGTGGCTAGCAGTGCTATTAGTGGAATTTTTATTTCATTATTGGTACCCAACTGGACCAGAGTTTTAGTGGGGGGGTTGTTCCATGTAAACCATAGAAATAAGCATTTCTGTGACCTGAAGAGTCAATTCTTCTATTACAGCTTGACAGCAGAAAGCACAGTGTAAAACCACATCCCTCCTGCTCTCAAACGACATGTCAGACCAGGCTACCACATCTTCGTCATTTCCCTGCCTTCCCCAGTGACCTATACAAGTTTTTAAATCTTCTGTATGGCATCCTATTTAACAAGAACACTCTTCACTGGTTTTAGTGTGTAGGAAAATTTTTTACAAAATGTTCAGAAAGACTAACAACTCTCTTTCCTGAGCCAAATATTACACATCTTTATTCTCTGTTAACATTCCTCCTCCCCTGCTTCCCTATGCCCCCCATCCCCACCCCCTGCTTCCCAAGAAAGGAGATAAGATCCATTCTGGACATCAGATTGGTACTTGCCTTTAGGAAGCATTTATAAAAAGAGATAATAGTCAACCAAGTAACTGAAAAATACCACACCTGTAAAAGGAACAGAATGGAAAGAAAAAAAATCAATTACAGGATGACTTCAGAGGTGACTTACAGTGGCAATAAAAGGTTTCAATCTCCAATCTTTAATATGTAGCTTGTAACCCCTGTGGCACAACAAGTCTCATTTCAAATAACGTTATATGTATTGCTTTCTTCAAGATGGTCTGCTAGAGGGCTTTCAAGTCTAATGTGCTAATGCTCCTGTCCTAAAATTAACTTCTTAATTAAAATGGGGAAGGCAGGGTTTTATTCAAGCCTTCAAAACAACAAATGAAAAATACTGAAAATGCAAGAAACCAGACATTGCCCATCAAATACGTCTAACCCCTGATTAGCCCTGAGAGAGATGTCCTCCCAGTGTAGTTTTTAATGTTTTATTCACTGTTTGCCTTTTGGCCCATCAGGAGTAAATGTTAGGCTATACATTTAGAAGTAAATACAGCCTGTCCTTTCCTATTTAGAATGCAACAGATATTCAGGTCTCCATGACCTTTGTGACACGCACATGATTGCTAATAACTGGGTCAGTGTACTTGGTGCATCGTTGTGTCAGGCAGTCTCTCAGAAAATCTATCAGGCTGTAATCAAGGGAAAAATTCTGTAGTAAGCAGGTCATGCCTTAATCTCCCCCAGAAACTGGACTGTTACAAATTATAGGGTTCTTTTAATGTAGCTGTGTCTCTGCTAGATTCTAGACTGAAAACACCATCTCATCCCTCACAGGCTACCAAGTAGACTTGGATAACGATAAATTCTGGTTGCTAGCAGCCCAGTTAGTGATCTGTATTGTAGACAAAATGCTCTTCTATCCCATTTAACAGTCCCTTGATGGGTCTTACTATTTAATGCAGGGATGCCATACAATGTACAAGAAATACAATCACTATAAGAAAGATCCTCTTTACCAAAATGGAATGGATATGTTAGTATTTTTGTTATTGGCAATAAAAAATTGCAGGCTTTGATTACTTGAATCAGGTCAGAAATATTTGACTAAATCTTGCTTTTATTGCTTATAGGCTAACCTTACCTGCATTGTAAAGAAGGCTTTTCCCAAGCCAAATCTTGTGTGGTATGTGGATGGAGACATTGTTAAAGACCAATTTGGAGGTAATAAATATTACTAGAAAGTAATGGTGTTAAAAACAAAAGTAAGAACAAGCCAGGAGAAAACAGATTACTGCTATGCTATTCCTGCTATGGCATGAGTTTTGGTTACTTGCTTCAGCATGGAAGGAATGTGACTGCTATTAGTGGACAACAGCTGAGAAATGGGCAAGTCACCATGTGTTGATGTCATTCATTGAAAAGACATCCTGGCGAAGTCAAGTTTATATAGCTGTGCCATTTGATTGACATCTGAATTAAGCAGTATGAGTTTGATATTATTATTTTTTAAGAACCAGAAATTTGCACAGCTCTGGGACAGGGTATAAAGGGAGGATTGATGGCTTTTCTATTGTTCTCTCAGGCATATCTATTAAAGCTGAAGAACCAAAGGAGAGTAAAGGTTTCTATGAACTCACGTCATTGCTGATGATACAAAATACCAATCAGTCAGAGACTAAACAGACTGCCTGGTGTAGCTGTGAGTTTCCCTTCCCTTGGAATGAAGCACGGGATATTTCATCTGAAGAAATTGTTGTTTATTTTGGTATGTCAACATATATATTATACAGACTGTTTCTAAAGTAAAAAACAGAAAGTAGCAGGCATATGGAAAAATAATTCTTGTATATACAGTACAAGAATATGTTAGGCAAGTTATGCATATATAATGTCAAGTTAAGACCTTAATTGTGCTAATAAATCTGTCAAAGATGACATTTTGGTGGAGTGGGGTGCTTTTGGTGGAGTGGGGAAGACCGGTTTCTGCACATAGTGAAGGAAGCAGATTTCACTTTAATCTCACACTGGTATCAGCTAAAGTCCTGGTTCTAAGTATATACTAACCTACCTGTGAAGTGCCAGTGAACTATATATAACATGCATTTTGCAATATGCACTTCTGGGCCATTCATGTATGCACTGCAGCTATCTGGAAACTCAAGCTACCAAACTAAGGGCCAAATTGTACCATCAGTGTTGGCCTGACCCCTCAGGGCAATGCTCAGGATCTCAATATTCCACTGTTAGACAGGAGAGTGTAGTGTACAATTGCACATGCACACATAAAAATCAATTAAGCACACACTCACTAGGTGCATACACCCTTATTAGGCATACACACTCACATTACCAGCTCAGACATATACACTACACACCCCAAAAGTTAGACACAGATCACTAATTCATATATCATGCACACAATGCCATATATAGACACACACACTAGCAACTCAGATACACACACGTTCAAAATAACTAGTCTGGGCTCACACACACTACACACACCACATTTAGACAGAATCAGTTACCAGTTACCAACACCTGCACATTTCAATACACATATATAGATTACTAATTCATATACTACACATACACATATAGATATAGATATTGTATTGACTAATTTACACACATGCCACCCACCTACACATACACACAAGTGAGTTCCTAAGTTGGGTATTGTGATGTGTATGTATGTGCTTGGTGTACTTGGGATACCTGGGGAAAGGTTAAGGTAAGAAAGTAGAAATGTAGGAGGTTAAAGTCACCGGGACCGGGATTAGAATTGGTAGACTACCGGGGCCTGGGCTGAAGAACTGAGGCTCGGGGGTAACTTTAGGTTAATTGATTAAAAGACAATACCCAAAGCCTGCAGAACAGGGGAATGATGCTGGCACAGAGGTTGGGACCAGAACCAGAGCTACAGAGGAGCTGAAAAGGTAGGTGGGGAGAGGGAAAATGGGACTAAGGGAAAGTGTGAATGTTAAAGAGGGGCTCTGGGTGTGGGAAGCCAGAGGATGGCTCTGGGGCAGCTAGAGAAG